ACACACACACACAACAACACACAGATCAACATACATACCATCACACACACACCATCACACACACACACACACACACCATCACGCACGCTCACCAACACACACAGTATCACTGGTGGTGATGACACAAAAATGATTTCGAAAGACATGCAAAACGACAATAAGGACCAAAAAAATACAGAAAATTAAAACTGAAAAGGATTTCTACTAAGTCACACAAAAGACAACTACTAAGAGACTCAAGATGACCTCAAAATACTACTAAGAGACTCAAGATGACCTCAAAATACTACTAAGAGACTCAAGATGACCTCAAAATACTACTAAGAGACTCAAGATGACCTCAAAATACTACTAAGAGACTCAAGATGACCTCAAAATGACTTCAAAGAGACTCAAAAGATTCTTTCATCTCTTCTTAATCTGAATCTTAACGTGCAGGATTCATGGGTAGTTCTACATCTCCAGGTTCACTGGCAGTCCGTCTATTCTGATGCCGTACCACGTGTGTCATGTTTAGCTCTTCTTATTTGAAATGTATTTCTTTTTTATCATATTCTCCTTTTCCGTCTTTTTTCTTTTGTTTTTCCTTTTCCCCTCTTTTATTTATTTATTAACTGGTTTGTCTTACTGTTCCGGACTTCCCCCTTTTTCTTATTATGTTATTTTTTTACTTCAAAGTGACTCTAAGTGACTCAAAGTGACTTCAAAGTGACTTCAAAGTGACTTCTAAGAGACTCAAAGTGACTTCTAAGAGACTTCAAAGTGACTTCTAAGAGACTCAAAGTGACTTCTAAGAGACTCAAAGTGACTCAAAGTGACTTCAAAGTGACTTCAAAGTGACTTCTAAGAGACTCAAAGTGACTTCTAAGAGACTCAAAGTGACTTCTAAGAGACTCAAAGTGACTTCTAAGAGACTCAAAGTGACTTCAAAGAGACTCAAAGTGACTTCTAAGAGACTCAAAGTGACTTCAAAGAGACTCAAAGTGACTTCAAAGAGACTCAAAGTGACTTCAAAGAGACTCAAAGTGACTCAAAGTGACTTCTAAGAGACTCAAAGTGACTTCTAAGAGACTCAAAGTGACTCAAAGTGACTTCTAAGAGACTCAAAGTGACTTCTAAGAGACTCTAAGTGACTTCTAAGAGACTCAAAGTGACTCAAAGTGACTTCTAAGAGACTCAAAGTGACTTCTAAGAGACTCAAAGTGACTTCTAAGAGACTCAAAGTGACTTCTAAGAGACTCTAAGTGACTTCTAAGAGACTCAAAGAGACTCAAAGTGACTTCTAAGAGACTCAAAGTGACTTCTAAGAGACTCTAAGTGACTTCTAAGAGACTCTAAGTGACTTCTAAGTGACTTCTAAGAGACTCTCAGTGACTTCTAAGAGACTTAAAGTGACTTCAAAGTGACTTAAAGTGACTTCAAAGTGACTTATAAGAGACTCAAAGTGACTTCAAAGTGACTTCAAAGTGACTTCTAAGAGACTCAAAGTGACTTCAAAGTGACTTCTAAGAGACTCAAAGTGACTTCTAAGAGACTCAAAGTGACTTCAAAGAGACTTCAAAGAAACTCAAAGTGACTTCTAAGAGACTCAAAGTGACTTCTAAGAGACTCAAAGTGACTTCTAAGTGACTCAAAGTGACTTCAAAGAGACTTCTAAGAGACTCAAAATAACTTCAAAGAGACTTCTAAGAGACTCAAAGTGACTTCTAAGAGACTCAAAGTGACTTCTAAGAGACTCAAAGTGACTTCAAAGTGACTTCTAAGAGACTCTAAGTGACTTTTAAGAGACTCAAAGTGACTCAAAGTGATTTCTAAGAGACTCAAAGTGACTTCTAAGAGACTCAAAGTGACTTCTAAGAGACTCTAAGTGACTTCTAAGAGACTCTAAGTGACTTCTAAGAGACTCTAAGTGACTCAAAGTGACTTCTAAGAGACTTAAAGTGACTTCAAAGTGACTTCTAAGAGACTCAAAGTGACTTCAAAGTGACTTCAAAGTGACTTCAAAGTGACTTCTAAGAGAATCAAAGTGACTTCAAAGTGACTTCTAAGAGACTCAAAGTGACTTCTAAGAGACTCAAAGTGACTCAAAATAACTTCAAAGAGACTCAAAGTGACTTCTAAGAGACTCAAAGTGACTTCAAAGTTACTTCAAAGAGACTTCAAAGAGACTCAAAGTGACTTCTAAGAGACTCAAAGTGACTTCTAAGTGACTTCTAAGAGACTCAAAGTGACTTCTAAGAGACTCAAAGTGACTTCAAAGTGACTTCTAAGACTTCAAAGAGACTCAAAGTGACTTCAAAGTGACTTCAAAGTGACTTCTAAGAGACTCAAAGTGACTTCTTAGAGACTCAAAGTGACTTCAAAGTGACTTCTAAGAGACTCAAAGTGACTTCAAAGTGACTTCAAAGTGACTTCTAAGAGACTCAAAGTGACTTCTAAGTGACTCAAAGTGACTTCAAAGAGACTTCTAAGAGACTCAAAATAACTTCAAAGAGACTTCTAAGACTCAAAGTGACTTCTAAGAGACTCAAAGTCACTTCAAAGAGACTCAAAGTGACTTCTAAGTGACTCAAAGTGACTTCTAAGAGACTCAAAGTCACTTCAAAGAGACTCAAAGTGACTTCTAAGTGACTCAAAGTGACTTCTAAGAGACTCAAAGTTACTTCAAAGTGACTTCTAAGAGACTCAAAGTGACTTCTAAGTGACTCAAAGTGACTTCAAAGTGACTTCTAAGAGACTTCTAAGAGACTCTCAGTGACTTCTAAGAGACTCAAAGTCACTTCAAAGAGACTCAAAGTGACTTCTAAGTGACTCAAAGTGACTTCTAAGAGACTCAAAGTCACTTCAAAGAGACTCAAAGTGACTTCTAAGAGACTCAAAGTGACTTCAAAGTGACTTCTAAGAGACTCAAAGTGACTTCTAAGTGACTCAAAGTGACTTCAAAGTGACTTCTAAGAGACTCAAAGTGACTTCTAAGAGATTTCAAAGAGACTTCAAAGAGACTTCTAAGAGACTTCTAAGAGACTCAAAGTGACTTCAAAGAGACTCAAAATAACTTCAAAGAGACTCAAAGTGACTTTAAAGTGACTTCAAAGAGACTCAAAGAGACTTCAAAGAGACTCAAAGAGACTCAAACTGACTTCAAAGAGACTCAAAGTGACTTCAACGAGACTCAAAGAGACTTCTAAGAGACTCTAAGTGACTTCAAAGAGACTTCAAAGAGACTTCAAAGAGACTCAAAGTGACTTCAAAGAGACTCAAAGAGACTTCAAAGAGACTCAAAGAGACTTCAAACAGACTTCAAAGAGACTCAAAGTGACTTCAAAGAGACTCAAAGAGACTTCAAAGAGACTCAAAGTGACTTCAAAGAGACTCAAAGTGACTCAAAGTGACTTCAAAGAGACTCAAAGTGACTTCAAAGAGACTCAAAGTGACTTCAAAGAGACTCAAAGTGACTTCAAAGAGACTCAAAGAGACTCAAAGTGACTTCAAAGAGACTCAAAGAGACTTCAAAGAGACTCAAAGTGACTTCAAAGAGACTCAAAGTGACTTCAAAGTGACTTCAAAGAGACTCAAAGTGACTTCAAAGAGACTCAAAGTGACTTCAAAGAGACTCAAAGTGACTTCAAAGAGACTTCAAAGAGACTTCAAAGAGACTTCAAAGAGACTCAAAGTGACTTCTAAGAGATTCAAAGTGACTTCTAAGAGACTCAAAGTGACTTCAAAGTGACTTCAAAGAGACTCAAAATAACTTCAAAGAGACTCAAAGTGACTTCAAAGAGACTTCAAAGAGACTCAAAGAGACTCAAAGAGACTTCAAAGAGACTCAAAGTGACTTCAAAGAGACTCAAAGAGACTCAAAGTGACTTCAAAGAGACTTCAAAGAGACTCAAAGTGACTTCAAAGAGACTCAAAGTGACTTCAAAGAGACTCAAAGTGACTTCAAAGAGACTTCAAACAGACTTCAAAGAGACTCAAAGAGACTTCAAAGAGACTCAAAGTGACTCAAAGTGGGACTTCAAAGAGACTCAAAGTGACTTACTGTAACTGTCAGATTATATTCCTATAATAATAATAATAATACATTGCATTTCAAAGCGCTTTTCCAGGTGCTCAAAGACGCTTTACAGTGGTGATAAAACATGATAAAATAGAATTTAAAAGTTATTAAAACAAGATAAAATAACATTTAAAAGTTATTAAAACAGCAATACAGCATAATTCACAGATTAAAAGCCAGTCTGAAGAGGTGTGTTTTGGTCAGTGTTTTGAAAGTGGGGGGGTCAGTGCAGTCTCTGATGTGTTGTGGGAGGGAGTTCCAGAGGGTGGGGGGCAGCGATGGAGAAGGCTCTATCCCCCCAGGTTCGGAGCTTGGTTTTCTTGGGGATAGAGAGGAGGTTCGCTTCTGATGAGCGAAGGCTGCGGGAAGGGGTGTAGTGGTGGATCAGGTCAGAGAGGTAGGGGGGAGCCTGGTTATTGAGAACTTTGTGTGTTAGCAGAAGGATTTTGAAGTGTATTCGTTGACGAACAGGGAGCCAGTGCAGGTTTTGAAGGACGGGGGTGATGTGGTCTCTGGAGCGGGTGTTGGTGAGGAGGCGGGCAGCGCAGTTCTGGATGTATTGTAGTTTATTTAGGATTTTGGATGATGAACCATACAGGATGCTGTTGCAGTAGTCCAGTCTTGAAGTGACAAATGCGTGGATGAGGGTTTCAGCAGCCGGGAAGGTGAGTGAGGGGCGGAGGCGGGCAATGTTTTTCAGATGGAAGAAGGCAGTCCTGGTGATGTGGTTTGTGTGTTTGTCAAATTTGAGCTGGCTGTCCAAGATTACTCCAAGGCTGCGAATGTGAGGAGAGGGGGTTAGAGTGGTGTTGTCAAGGGTGAGGTTGAAGTTCTGAGTGGTGTTGGTGCGGAATGGGGGTCCGATTATGATGATATCAGATTTGTCGCTGTTCAGTTGAAGGTAGTTTGTTATGACACTAATCTTCTTGCTGTGATCCAGACTCCGAGGTGCGTCTGGTTTGCAAAGCTCTGCTCCCGTACCTGGAAGACACTCCCTGGGACCTCTGGTGGACGGTGGACGGGAAGACTCTGGACAAGCTGCCCGACCGCTTCTCCAAAACTAACAGGTACGAGGAGACCGCTGCCCAGTAAGCCGGTTCGAATCCCGAGCCATCTCCCCTCTGTCTCCCCTCTCTCTCCCCTCTGTCTCCCCTCTCTCTCCCCTCTCTCCCCCCCTCTGTCTCCCCTCTGTCTCCCCTCTCTCTCCCCTCTGTCTCCCCTCTGTCTCCCCTCTCTCTCCCCTCTGTCTCCCCTCTGTCTCCCCTCTCTCTCCCCTCTGTCTCCCCTCTGTCTCCCCTCTGTCTCCCCTCTGTTTCCCCTCTGTCTCCCCTCTGTCTCCCCTCTCTCTCCCCTCTGTCTCCCCTCTCTCTCCCTCTGTCTCCCCTCTCTCTCCCCCTCTGTCTCCCCTCTCTCCCCTCTCTCTCCCCTCTGTCTCCCCTCTCTCTCCCCTCTGTCTCCCCTCTCTCTCCCCTCCCTCTCTCCCCTCTGTCTCCCTCTTTCAACTCTACTATCGCAGAAATGCATCCTGAGTCTCATTCAATGAGATGTGTCACTGTAACTTTCTTTCTTGTGTTTTTCCCACGGTTTAAATGTTTCAGTTTGATGTGAGCTACAGCTTCTTCACGGTTTAAATGTTTCAGTTTGATGTGAGCTACAGCTTCTTCACGGTTTAAATGTTTCAGTTTGATGTGAGCTACAGCTTCTTCACGGTTTAAATGTTTCAGTTTGATGTGAGCTACAGCTTCTTCACGGTTTAAATGTTTCAGTTTGATGTGAGCTACAGCTTCTTCACTGTTTAAATGTTTCAGTTTGATGTGAGCTGCAGCTTCTTCACGGTTTAAATGTTTCAGTTTGATGTGAGCTACAGCTTCTTCACGGTTTAAATGTTTCAGTTTGATGTGAGCTACAGCTTCTTCACGGTTTAAATGTTTCAGTTTGATGTGAGCTACAGCTTCTTCACGGTTTAAATGTTTCAGTTTGATGTGAGCTACAGCTTCTTCATGGTTTAAATGTTTCAGTTTGATGTGAGCTACAGCTTCTTCACGGTTTAAATGTTTCAGTTTGATGTGAGCTACAGCTTCTTCACTGTTTAAATGTTTCAGTTTGATGTGAGCTACAGCTTCTTCACGGTTTAAATGTTTCAGTTTGATGTGAGCTACAGCTTCTTCACGGTTTAAATGTTTCAGTTTGATGTGAGCTACAGCTTCTTCATGGTTTAAATGTTTCAGTTGGATGTGAGCTACAGCTTCTTCACACCTTCAACACAGACTGGCTTCCTCTTGTTCTCATTCAACAGAAGGTGTGACCGGTGTCAGGCCAATCATCATCCCGTAACCCCGTGGAGCCACCACTCTTGGCTGTTCCCCTTCCCATCTGTTGCTCTCTTCCCTTAAAGAGTCTTGTCATTTGTTTGATGGAGAGATGTCTTGAGCACACATTGGTCCAGGTTATCTGGCCTTCCAGATGGAAATATATTGATTCTGTTAAATGCTATAACTCTTTATTAAAGAACATAACTTTGGTTGAAGCTGGTATATTTCTTCATTTCTTACCAGAAGGTGATTATATGTGGAGTTTCCACCTCGAAAACAAGAGAGTGAAATAGATTTCGTGCTTCCTTCGGTTCACCCAGCAGTCCTGGACCAAACCCAAACGTAGACTTTAGGATTGCCAGGAACAAGTGCAGTGCATGAAATATATGAATATTTATATGGCAGAGCTCAGCGGGGTCATGCGTGCAGGATTTATGGCTCGTTTTAAATCTGCAGGTCACGGACAGGCCGGGTTTACGACGTCCGAGTGCTTTATTTTGAAATCTACTACGTGGCTCAATCCTGGCATTTAGTGTGTGTGTGTGTGTGTGTGTGTGTGTGTGTGTGTGTGTGTGTGTGTGTGTGTGTGTGTGTGTGTGTGTGTGTGTGTGTGTGTGTGTGTGTGTGTGTGTGTGTGTGTGTGTGTGTGGTGTGTGTGTGTGTGTGTGTGTGTGTGTGTGTGTGTGTGTGTGTGTGTGTGTGTGTGTGTGTGTGTGTGTGTGTGTGTGTGTGTGTGTGTGTGTGTGTGTGTGTGTGTGTGTGTGTTGTGTGTGTGTGTGTGTGTGTGTGTGTGTGTGTGTGTGTGTGTGTGTTTTGTTCGTCTTCTTCCTTCATCTCTTCTGAATCTGAACTCGATGCAGGAGTGATGGGTAGCATTAGATCTCCAGTCCGTCTCTTTGTATGTTCGTGTGAGAGCTTTATTTTGAAATATACGACATGGGTCTTTTTTATCAATTTTTTCTTTTTATTTCTTTTGTTTTTCTTGTTCCCTCTTTTTCCCTTTCTTTCAGTTTTCTTCTTATTTATCTTATTTTTCATTTCTTCATTTTTTCAATATTTTCTGTTTATTTTATTTCTTCCATTTTTCCTTTTACAATTTGTCCCCTCTTTTTGTTTTATTTCTGTTTTCCTTATTTCCTAACTCATCCCCTTCTTGTTTCTAACTGTTATCATGTATGGATAATATGGTTTCTAAGTTCAGTGAATTCTGTTTTACAGCTTTTCTTTTGAAATGTACCTTCATTTCTTTTTCTTCTTCTTGCAGGATGTATTGCTCGTGTATTTCACTGCGTCTCCGTGTTTTATTCTCCGTGTTTTATTCTCCGTGTTTTATTCTCCGTGTTTTATTCTTCGTGTTTTATTCCTCGTCCCTATGTTTCAGGCTGCTGAGCGACGACCACGGCGACCGTACGGAGGAGAGCGTTCTGCTGATCCAGGACTTCTCCTCCGAGGACTTGAACCGGGAGTTTAACTGCTCCGTCAAGAACGAGGAAGGGGTCCAGACCCGCAGAGCCGCCCTGCAGCTGGAGGGTGAGGCTTTTATTGTGGAGGGGAGCCAGGAAGCTCCTCTCCTTCCTGTCAACGTTTAACTCTACACGTGGCGGCTCAATTCAAGTCGCCGAGAGGCTGAGCTTTTTGCTGCGACGCCTTTTCAGTGAGAAAGTCCATACTGACGCTCCAAAGGTTGAAGATGTTTAATAAACAAAATCAAACAATAACTTAGAAGGACCAAAAAGATCAACAGAAACAATGTCAACGCTAGCTCACCCTCTGTCACCCGCCCCCCGACATGTAACAGGTGACATGAATACACAAACCACGACCATGTGACGATTGAAGTGCTCAACTAATACAAATAAAGAACAACTAATACAAATAAAGAACTCATGCTAAGTAGCATTCTGGCGCCTTCACTACCTATGGGGAGATCTTCCATCTCTCTGCTCTCTCCGTATGATACATCTGCTAAGATGCAGCCGTTAAACACTTCCTGCTGAAGTTTCACATTAAAACGAGGAAGACGGGGTTTATGGTCCAAAGAAGCTTTTAGTACGAGACCTCCAGAGGTTGTTTTTTAGCATTATCAATTAGCTCTTAAAGACGATGGTCACCTGCGGGTAAAAACACAGCCTGAAGCCATGACTACCCTTCATCTGTGTGTTTCTGTTTCATGTTTGGTTTGAGGTTTTTGTAATGTGATTTTAACCATTTGTCCGTTTATCATTTAAAATGTGTCCCCGGTGTGTCCCCGGTGTGTCCCCGGTGTGTCCCCGGTATGTCCCCGGTGTCTCCCCGGTGTGTCTCCCCGGTGTGTCCCCGGTGTGTCCCCGTGCGTCCCCCGTGTCTCCCCGGTGTGTCCCCGGTGTCTCCCCGGTGCGTCCCCGGTGTGTCCCCGGTGTGTCCCCGGTGTCTCCCCGGTGTGTCCCCGTGTGTCCCCGTGTGTCCCCCGTGTCTCCCCGGTGTGTCCCCCGTGTGTGTCCCGTGTGTCCCCGTGCGTCCCCCGTGTCTCCCCGGTGTGTCCCCGGTGTCTCCCCGGTGTGTCCCCGGTGTGTCCCCGGTGTGTCCCTGTGTGTCCCCCGTGTCTCCCCGGTGTGTCCCCGGTGTGTCCCCCGTGTCTCCCCGGTGTGTCTCCGGTGTGTCCCCGTGTGTCCCCCGTGTCTCCCCGGTGTGTCCCCCGTGTGTCCCCAGTGTGTCCCCATGCGTCCCCGGTGTGTCCCCGGTGTGTCCCCGTGCGTCCCCGGTGTGTCCCCGTGTGTCCCCGTGTGTCCCCCGTGTCTCCCCGGTGTGTCCCCGGTGTGTCCCTGTGTGTCCCCCGTGTCTCCCCGGTGTGTCCCCCGTGTGTCCCCGTGCGTCCCCGGTACGTCCCCGTGCGTCCCCGGTGTGTCCCCGTGTGTCCCCGGTGTGTCCCCCGTGTGTCCCCGGTGCGTTCCCGGGTCGTCCCCGGTGCGTCCCCCGTGCGTCCCCGGTGTGTCCCCGGTGTGTCCCCGGTGCGTCCCCGTGCGTCCCCGGTGCGTCCCCGGTGTGTCCCCGGTGTGACAGGAGACTCACTAAGTGTCAGGAAATAAACCCTCTTTCTTTTCTTGAGTTTGAGCTCCATACTCTTTCAGAAATAATCCTTGATGTGGTTTGGAACATGATATGGGTATCTGGGTAGAATCCTCCTGATGAGTTCTTTAAAGCAACAGACCCAGAATCAGCACTTTAGTAACAGGACTGAAATAGAGGGGGATGAGGCATGGGTATTTTGAGCAAAACACTTCATGGACATGTTTTTTATATATTTGTATATATCCTAAGAAAAAGGAAAATAAAGTTAAAAAAAAACCTGAAACCAGTTTGTGTTTTATTTCTGGATCCCTTTAATACAAACTAACGTATTGTATTGTAACGTGTTGTATCTCCTCCAGTGTGGGTGCCCTCGGTGGAGCTGGGCGTCGGCCTCGGGGCGACCCTCGTCCTCATGCTGCTCCTCTTCATCATCTATCACGTCTTCTGGCTGGAGCTGCTGCTGCTCTACAGGTCCTGGTTCGGCACCGACGAGCGGCACACAGGTGAGCGTCACTCTGTGAGCGTCACTCTGTGAGCATCACTCTGTATCACTCTGAGAGAGTCACTCTGTGAGCATCACTCTGTATCACTCTGAGAGAGTCACTCTGTATCACTCTAAGAGAGTCACTCTGTGAGACTCTGTGAGCATCACTCTGTATCACTCTGAGAGAGTCACTCTGTGAGCATCACTCTGTATCACTCTGAGAGAGTCACTCTGTGAGACTCTGTGAGCGTCACTCTGTATCACTCTGAGAGAGTCACTCTGTGAGCATCACTCTGTATCACTCTGAAAGAGTCACTCTGTGAGACTCTGTGAGCGTCACTCTGTGAGCATCACTCTGTATCACTCTGAGAGAGTCACTCTGAGAGAGTCACTCTGTGAGCGTCACTCTGTGAGCGTCACTCTGTGAGCGTCACTCTGTATCACTCTGAGAGAGTCACTCTGAGAGAGTCACTCTGTGAGCGTCACTCTGTATCACTCTGAGAGAGTCACTCTGAGAGAGTCACTCTGTGAGCGTCACTCTGTGAGCGTCACTCTGTGAGCGTCACTCTGTGAGCATCACTCTGTATCACTCTGAGAGAGTCACTCTGAGTCACTCTGTATCACTCTGAGAGAGTCACTCTGTGAGCGTCACTCTGTGAGCGTCACTCTGTGAGCGTCACTCTGTATCACTCTGAGAGAGTCACTCTGAGAGAGTCACTCTGTGAGCGTCACTCTGTATCACTCTGAGAGAGTCACTCTGAGAGAGTCACTCTGTGAGCGTCACTCTGTGAGCGTCACTCTGTGAGCGTCACTCTGTGAGCATCACTCTGTATCACTCTGAGAGAGTCACTCTGAGTCACTCTGTATCACTCTGAGAGAGTCACTCTGTGAGCGTCACTCTGTGAGCATCACTCTGTGAGCGTCACTCTGTATCACTCTGAGAGAGTCACTCTGTGAGACTCTGTGAGCGTCACTCTGTATCACTCTGAGAGAGTCACTCTGTGAGCATCACTCTGTATCACTCTGAGAGAGTCACTCTGTATCACTCTGAGAGATTCACTCTGTGAGACTCTGTGAGCATCACTCTGTGAGCATCACTCTGTGAGCATCACTCTGTGAGCATCACTCTGTATCACTCTGAGAGAGTCACTCTGAGAGAGTCACTCTGAGAGAGTCACTCTGTGAGCGTCACTCTGTGAGCGTCACTCTGTGAGCATCACTCTGTATCACTCTGAGAGAGTCACTCTGTGAGCGTCACTCTGTGAGCGTCACTCTGTGAGTGTCACTCTGTATCACTCTTTACATTGCATTTAGCTGACGCTTTTATCCAAAGCGACTTACAATAAGTGCATTCGACCAGGAAGACACAAACTTGAAGAAAACAGAATCATAAAGTACATCAGGTTTCATAGAGCCAAACATTTCAAGTGCTACTCAACTGGCTTTAGGTAATCCAGTCCTTTATTAGTATATAAGTGCTTTGTTAATAGTTCTATCGCTCGAAGTGGAGTCGAAAGAGATGAGTTTTCAGTCTGGAAGATGTGCAAGCTATCTGCTGTCCTGATGTCAATGGGGAGCTCATTCCACCATCCTGGAGCCAGGATAGCAAACCCACGTGTTTTCGCCGATGGGAACTTGGGTCCCCCTCGCAGCGAGGGTGCAGCGAGTCGTTTGGCTGATGCAGAGCGTAGTGCACGTGCTGGGGTGTACGGTTTAACCATGTCCTGGATGTAGGAAGGGCCAGATCCATTCGCAGCATGGTACGCAAGTACCAGTGTCTTGAAGTGGATTCTAGCAGTTACCGGAAGCCAGTGAAGGGAGCGGAGGAGCGGAGTGGTGTGGGAACATTTAGGAAGGTTGAAGACCAGGCGAGCCGCTGCATTCTGGATGAGCTGCAGAGGTCGGATGGCACATGCAGGTAGACCAGCCAGGAGGGAGTTGCAGTAGTCTAGGCGTGAGATGACGAGAACCTGGACCAGAACCTGCGTCGCTTTCTGTGTCAGCTGGGGACGTATCTTCCTGATGTTATAAAGCGTGTATCTGCAGCAGCGGGTTGTAGCAGCAATGTTTGCAGTGAAGGACAGGTTGTTATCTAGGGTCACACCCAGATTCCTTGCAGTCTGAGTCGGGGAAACAACTGAGGTGCCGATGTTGATTGTTAGGTCAAGAGTGGGACAATCTTTTCCCGGAAGGAAGAGCAGCTCAGTCTTGTCAAGGTTGAGCTTGAGGTGATGAGCAGACATCCACTGAGAGATGTCAGCTAGACAAGCAGAGATGCGTGCAACGACCTGGGTCTCTGAGCGGGGAAAGGAGAGAATTCATTGGGTGTCGTCAGCGTAGCAGTGGTAAGAAAAACCATGCGGGCTAATGACTGATCCGAGCGAGTTTGTTAACAGGGAGAAGAGGAGGGGACCAAGAACAGAGCCCTGAGGGACCCCTGTAGTTAATTGACAAGGGTCGGACTCAGACCCTCTCCAAGTCACCCTGTAGGTACGGTCTTTGAGGTATGAGGTGAGGAGGGAAAGTGCAGAGCCTGAAACTCCAAGTTCTTGGAGAGTGCGAAGGAGGATCTGATGATTCACCGTGTCGAATGCAGCAGACAGGTCCAATAGGATGATGACAGAGGAGAGGGATGCAGTTTTGGCAGTGTGCAGTTCCTCCGTGACAGCAATGAGAGCAGTTTCTGTGGAGTGACCTGCCTTGAAACCAGACTGGTGCGGATCCAGAAGGTTTTTCTGATGGAGATAACAGGAGAGTTATCTAAAGACAGGAACGGGAGGAGAGAGACAGGCCTGTAGTTTATAACATCAGACGGGTTGAGAGTGGGTTTCTTTAGGAGAGGGTTTACTCTTGCCTCCTTGAGACTGTTTGGAAAGTGACCATAAGTTAGAGAAGTGTTGATGAAATGGGTTTGAAACGGTAGAATATCAGGAGCGATAGTCTGAAGGAGGTTTGAAGGGATAGGGTCCAGAGGACAGGTGGTAGGGCGGGCAGAGGTAATGAGGGTAAGAACCTCACTTGGAGAGAGAGGGGAAAAGGAGGTTAGTGTGTTGGTGGAAGGAGGGTCTGGTGACCCAGCGGTGAGTAAAGGTGAGTCAGAAAAAGAAGAGCGAATATCATCAACCTTTTTTTCAAAGTGGGTAACAAAGTCGTTTGACAGAAGTGAGGAGGGGGGAGGAGCTTTTGGAGGGTCCAAGAGGGTGGAGAAGATGGAGAATAGTTTTTTAGGATTGGAATAGGAAGATTGGATCTTATCTTGAAAGAAAGTGCTTTTTGCCTGAGAGATCGAAGCAGAGAAAGAGGAGAGGAGAGCCTGATAGTTTAGGAGGTCGTCACGGTGTTTGGATTTCCACCATTTCCGCTCTGCTGCCCTAAGGACGGTTCTATTAGCACGCAGTGCATCATTTAGCCAGGGAGCAGGAGGGGACTGACGAGCCTGCCGAGATGTGAGAGGACAGAGAGAGTCCAGAGTGGATGAGAGAGTAGAGAGGAGAGATTCTGCAGCAGAGTTTGAAGGCAGGAGTTGGAACGAGTCAGAGGAAGGGAGGGCTGAGAGCACCGATGAGGTAAAGGTAGAGGGGGAGAGGGAACGAAGGTTACGGCGGACAAGTGCAGGATGAGAAGAGATTAGTTTGTTATGTTTGGAAAGGGGTAGAGAGAATGAAATGAAGAAGTGATCGGATGTGTGGAGCGGGTTTACAGAGAGGTTAGAAGTAGCGCAGTTCCTTGAGAATATGAGATCAAGGACATTGCCAGCTTTATGAGTCGGTGGGGACGGAGACAGTGAGAAAGCAAAGGCGGTTAACAGAGATGTTAGTTCGTCTATCTTCCCCGTCTGGAGGTTGAAGTCTCAGAGAAGTACAGCGGGAGGGCCAGTTTCAGGGATGAGTGAGAGGAGATGATCTAATTCCTCCAAGAAGTCCTCCAAGAAGTCCCCCAAGGCGCCTGGTGGACGGTAGAGAACAACAATGGTTAACTGTATAAGATGGGTTACTGTGACGGCATGGAATTCAAAGGTGGAAGGAGTGAAGTTAGGTAGCTTGAAGAGGGAAAAGCTCCATTTGGGAGAGAGCAGGAGACCAGTGCCACCTCCTCTGCCAGTGGGTCTGGGTGTATGGGAGAAGGAATATGCAGTGGAGAGAGCTGCTGGGGTGGATGTGTTGGATGGAGTAATCCAGGTCTCAGTGAGAGCAAGGAAATCCAGAGACTGCAGGGAGGCGTAGCCAGAGATGAAGTCAGCCTTAGGAACAGCTGACTGGCAGTTCCACAGGCCGCCTGAAACTAGATGTTGGATCTCAGTGGAGCACGTGGGATAGACGAGAGCAGGCCGGTTATATCGATTACGAGATACACGGGGCCAGTGATAATTGCGAGAAGACACATAAACAGGAATGGAGAAAATACACATGATTATAGCCTGAGGGGCTAAACAACCAAATAAAAGAGAAATAAGACACCAGCTCAATCAGAGTAGCAAATCCAATCAGAGTAGGATTTGTCTCCTCTTTGCCTCCCTCGTGACTCCCGTAGGACTCTGAGAGAGTCACTCTGAGAGAGTCACTCTGTGAGCATCACTCTGTATCACTCTGAGAGAGTCACTCTGAGTCACTCTGTATCACACTGAGAGAGTCACTCTGTGAGCGTCACTCTGAGTCACTCTGAGAGAGTCACTCTGTATCACTCTGAGAGAGTCACTCTGAGTCACTCTGAGTCACTCTGTGTCACTCTGTGTCACTCTGAGTCACTCTGTGTCACTCTGAGTCACTCTGTGAGCGTCACTCTGAGTCACTCTGTGTCACTCTGAGTCACTCTGAGTCACTCTGAGTCACTCTGTGTCACTCTGAGTCACTCTGTGTCACTCTGAGTCACTCTGTGAGCGTCACTCTGAGTCACTCTGAGTCACTCTGAGTCACTCTGTGAGCGTCACTCTGAGTCACTCTGTGTCACTCTGAGTCACTCTGAGTCACTCTGAGTCACTCTGTGTCACTCTGAGTCACTCTGTGTCACTCTGAGTCACTCTGTGAGCGTCACTCTGAGTCACTCTGAGTCACTCTGTGAGCGTCACTCTGTATCACTCTGAGAGAGTCACTCTGAGTCACTCTGAGAGAGTCACTCTGAGTCACTCTGAGAGAGTCACTCTGTGTCACTCTGTGTCACTCTGTGAGCGTCACTCTGTGAGACTCTCAGTGTGTCTGTATAGATGTTCACTCTGTCCCTCAGAGACGCTCTGCTGCAGATCAACATCGAGGGCTTTCTGACCTTTACATGTTTAGAGTTTGACTTCCTGAGTAGAGAGGGAGGTGGAAACTGATCTGATCATGTGACGCAGAGAGGGAGGTGGAAACTGATCTGATCATGTGACGTAGAGAGGGAGGTGGAAACTGATCTGATCATGTGACGTAGAGAGGGAGGTGGAAACTGATCTGATCATGTGACGCAGAGAGGGAGGTGGAAACTGATCTGATCATGTGACGTAGAGAGGGAGGTGGAAACTGATCTGATCATGTGACGCAGAGAGGGAGGTGGAAACTGATCTGATCATGTGACGCAGAGAGGGAGGTGGAAACTGATCTGATCATGTGACGCAGAGAGGGAGGTGGAAACTGATCTGATCATGTGACGTAGAGAGGGAGGTGGAAACTGATCTGATCATGTGACGCAGAGAGGGAGGGTAGGAGGAAACTGATCTGATCATGTGACGCAGAGAGGGAGGTGGAAACTGATCTGATCATGTGACGTAGAGAGGGAGGTGGAAACTGATCTGATCATGTGACGCAGAGAGGGAGGTGGAAACTGATCTGATCATGTGACGTAGAGAGGGAGGTGGAAACTGATCTGATCATGTGACGCAGAGAGGGAGGTGGGAAACTGATCTGATCATGTGACGTAGAGAGGGAGGTGGAAACTGATCTGATCATGTGACGTAGAGAGGGAGGTGGAAACTGAATCTGATCATGTGACGTAGAGAGGGAGGTGGAAACTGATCTGATCATGTGACGCAGAGAGGGAGGGGTGGAAACTGATCTGATCATGTGACGCAGAGAGGGAGGTGGAAACTGATCTGATCATGTGACGCAGAGAGGGAGGTGGAAACTGATCTGATCATGTGACGTAGAGGGGAGGTGGAAACTGATCTGATCATGTGACGTAGAGAGGGAGGTGGAAACTGATCTGATCATGTGACGTAGAGAGGGAGGTGGAAACTGATCTGATCATGGACGCAGAGAGGGAGGTGGAAACTGATCTGATCATGTGACGTAGAGAGGGAGGTGGAAACTGATCTGATCATTGTTGACGTAGAGAGGGAGGTGGAAACTGATCTGATCATGTGACGTAGAGAGGGAGGTGGAAACTGATCTGATCATGTGACGTAGAGAGGGAGGTGGAAACTGATCTGATCATGTGACGTAGAGAGGGAGGTGGAAACTGATCTGATCATGTGACGCAGAGAGGGAGGTGGAAACTGATCTGATCATGTGACGCAGAGAGGGAGGTGGAAACTGATCTGATCATGTGACGCAGAGAGGGAGGTGGGAAACTGATCTGATCATGTGACGCAGAGAGGGAGGTGGAAACTGATCTGATCATGTGACGCAGAGAGGGAGGTGGAAACTGATCTGATCATGTGACGCAGAGAGGGAGGTGGAAACTGATCTGATCATGTGACGCAGAGCGGGAGGTGGGAAACTGATCTGATCCTGTGACGCAGAGAGGGAGGTGGAAACTGATCTGATCATTGTGACGTAGAGAGGGAAGGGTGGAAACTGATCTGATCATGTGACGCAGAGAGGGGAGGTGGAAACTGATCTGATCATGTGACGCAGAGAGGGAGGTGGAAACTGATCTGATCATGTGACGCAGAGAGGGAGGTGGAAACTGATCTGATCATGTGACGTAGAGAGGGAGGTGGAAACTGATCTGATCATGTGACGCAGAGAGGGAGGTGGAAACTGATCTGATCATGTGACGCAGAGAGGGAGGTGGAAACTGATCTGATCATGTGACGCAGAGAGGGAGGTGGAAACTGATTCTGATCATGTGACGTAGAGAGGGAGGTGGAAACTGATCTGATCATGTGACGCAGAGAGGGAGGTGGAACCTGATCTGATCATGTGACGTAGAGAGGGAGGTGGAACTGATCTGATCATGTGACGTAGAGAGGGAGGTGGAAACTGATCTGATCATGTGACGCAGAGAGGGAGGTGGAAACTGATCTGATCATGTGACGCAGAGAGGGAGGTGGAAACTGATCTGATCATGTGACGTAGAGAGGGAGGTGGAAACTGATCTGATCATGTGACGCAGAGAGGGAGGTGGAAACTGATCTGATCATGTGACGTAGAGAGGGAGGTGGAAACTGATCTGATCATGTGACGTAAACAAGACGCTTCTTTCTGAGGAATCAGTCGATCTGAACTCTGTTTCTGAACAGAGAGTTCAACTCTGAGAACATTAAGTACATATATATAATAGTCATATGTTAAAATTAGGGCCGGGACTTTAACGCGTTAATTAAGATTAATTAATTACACAAAAATTAACGCGTTAAAAAAATTAACGCATTTTAATCGCATACTGTCTAGGGCTTTTATTTTGAAAAACAAGCCTCACCAGGCGTTTTCTGTAAGTATACGTTACAGTACGGGCCTCTTCATGATCGTCCTGTTGGTATTCAGTTACTCTATGGGGCTTTTATTTGGAAAGAAAGCCTCAATCTGAGATATTAGTTATAATTAGGGCCGGGACTTTAACGCGTTAATTAAGATTAATTAATTACACAAAAATTAACGCGTTAAAAAAATTAACGCATTTTAATCGCACTTATTTTTGCACCGCGGAACGTTTCTCACTGGATGAGTTTCAGGCGTACCGATTATACTGGAGCACCAACTAACGTTCATGACTTCAGACAACAACAAACCACAGTGAACAACAGTGGGAAATGTTGTTTTAAAAAACGGACGGATGGAAGCGTCGATAAGAGCACGGTTGTGTGCAAATTATGCAAAAAGGAATTCGCATATCACCGCAGCACATCAAGCCTCAAGTATCACCTCAATGCAAAACATATAGCAGCTAGCGTGGAAGCTAGCGTGGACGTTAGCCTCTTTTATCGCGTTCACACCAAAAAGAGCCGGTACTAAAATTAGTTCATGAGAACCTTTTTTACCCCCACGAAAGTCCCTGCTAGAGAGCAGAGAGCTGCTAGAGAGCAGGGACTTTCGTACGGCTCTCTTGTGAGAAAAGAGCTATATTTCTGATTGGCTGGGCGGATTGCAAACCACGCCCCGTAAAACTCCCAAAAAGTTTTGTGAAGCCGCCATTTTATTATCCTCGTATTAGCATTAGCCCAGCGCAGAAACGCAGAGAGACTAACTTATGGCAACACAAAATAAAACATGGGAGCGGTGGAGATGAGGAGGTGTCGGCGTTCTGGCGATTTACTCGGAAGGCTTCAGTAGAAGCTGCTGGGAGTCCCAGCAGCTTCTACTGAAGCCAGTCCCCAACTCCGGGGACTTCCGGCCGGGGACTTTGGGTGGTTTGCGGCCTGCCAGTAAACCCAAAGCAGAAGAAGAAGAAGTGACGTCAACGGCTTCATTTGCCTAATCCACCCCCAGGTTCAAAGAGTTCTCATGAACCAAGTTCTCATGAACCTTTGTGGGAAAAGTACTGCGGTGTGAATGCGCCTAATGGTATACTAAAATCCATGTGAAAAAAATTGCTTCTCACTGTTCTCAGGTCAAATATTTATATGTGATTAAAAATGCGATTAATTTCGATTAATTAATTACAAAGCCTCTAATTAATTAGATTAATTGTTTTAATCGAGTCCCGGCCCTAGTTAAAATATGTTTACTACTATTAATACAGTAGTGTATTAATAGTAGTAAGTACAAGTGCTGTACTTAAGTACAATGTTGAGGTATTTGTACTAGAGTATTTCCATTTTCTGCTACTTTGTAAGATCTGAGTACTTCTACTTCCTCTTCCTAAATGTAATTTAATAATGTGTGTGTGTGTGTGTGTGTGTGTGTGTGTGTGTGTGTGTGTGTGTGTGTGTGTGTGTGTGTGTGTGTGTGTGTGTGTGTGTGTGTGTGGTGTGTGTGTGTGTGTGTGTGTGTGTGTGTGTGTGTGTGTGTGTGTGTGTGTGTGTGTGTGTGTGTGTGTGTGTGTGTGTGTGTGTGTGTGTGTGTGTGTGTGTGTGTGTGTGTGTGTGTGTGTGTGTGTGTGTGTGTGTAGATGATAAGGAATACGATTTGTACATCTCCTATGCGAGGGGCAGTGAGGAGGAACTCTTCGTTCTCTCCACTCTTCGCAGCGTTCTGGAGAACGAGCTGGGGTACTCTGTGTGTATCTTCGACAGAGACAGCCTGCCGGGGGGGAGTAAGTACAAGTACACACACCTACCGCACCACAGTACACACAAGTACATGTACACACACCTACCGCACCACAGTACACACAAGTACATGTACACACACCTACCGCACTACAGTACACACAAGTACATGTACACACACCTACCGCACCACAGTACACACAAGTACATGTACACACACCTACCGCATTACAGTACACACAAGTAGGCTACATGTACACACACCTACCGCACCACAGTACACACAAGTACATGAACACACACCTACCGCACCACAGTACACACAAGTACATGTACACACACCTACCGCATTACAGTACACACAAGTAGGCTACATGTACACACACCTACCGCACCACAGTACACACAAGTACCAGGGTTTCCGTTAGCCGGTAATTACCGGTTTTTAGCTGGTAACATTTATTAAAAACCGGTAAATTCAAAACCTGCCGGTCAAAATGTCTGGTAATAATTAGGGAGGCTCCGATAGATCTGCCGCCGGTCATTATCGGCCGATATTCACTGTTAATAGTTTGATCGGTGCTCTCTATAAAGGCCGATCAGGAGAGCTGGATCTGATCGATATGGACATAAACGCGAGTGAAGTATAACCGGACACGCGAGAGAGATCAGATCAGCTGCTGAGTCAGACCGAGACACGCAGCTCTGCATGATCACCTGAAGCCCCGCCCACTGTTTAGCGAGCTGCAGGAGAAACTGACGGGCTGTCAGGAGAGAGAGAGAGAGAGAGAGAGAGAGGGAGAGAGAGGGAGAGGGGAAAAGAGAGGATCCGTTTCTCCCGTGTTATTATTCAAAGTTAATGTAAACTTTTGAATAATGTACTTCATCTACTACAAGTAGTTTGTTTGAATGTAATAATTATGTTGTTTGTGGAATCATTTATTGGAAATGAATCTGAATTTTTCGATCTGTTACGATTATAGACTGAAGCAATATAAAAATGACTCCCATTAACTGTGTTTTAAACATCAGCATATCTGCTCATAGTCCGGTGATTACCCGCTAACGGAAACTCTGCTACACAACTCTTATTATTATTATTGAAATATGACCGGTAAGTTTCAAATTTGTCCGATAAAATAAATTCTGCCCGGACATTTGACCGGCGAGAAAAAATCCTAGCGGAAACCCTGACAAGTACATGTACACCAGAGGTTGTGCTAGACTCATTTTGACGGACAGGATCGTAACATTTCCGTCAAAATCCATTATTACCCGTCGGTCTGTACACAACTGACGGGGGGGGGGGTGGGGGGGAAGAGCACTCTTGTGAACTGTTAGGGCCGGTGTTATGCCATGTTATGCATGCCCACTGCACCTTGCGGGAGCGCGCCACAGCGTTAAGCATAAACTCCCAGACATTTCAATGATTTGTACGGCATAGTTAGGTCTGGAAACGATATAACGGCATAACACCGGAGCCCTGCTGCGGGGAAACTTTGGCGCTGTTCTGAGTTTGTTCTAATCCGTCAAAATGACGGACTGCTTTCAGATTTTTCCGTCATTGTTAAAAAAATTCCGTCATAGACGGAATATATTCGGTTAACGCGACCTCTGATGTACACACACCTACCGCACCATAGTACACACAAGTACAGTACCAGTCAAAAGTTTGGACACACCTTCTCATTCTGAGGTTTTGTGTACTAGGGTCTGAGAGCGGGGGTCGGTGAAGACCCTGCTGTAATCCTGCCAAACACACAGAACAGGGAAAACAATGGGCAAAAGCACAGAAACACACATTACAACACACACGCTCACACACACACACTCACACACACACATGCGCACACTATTCATTATTGATATCGATAGGATTATTATTATTATTTATGATTCTTATTTCCGGAACTTTGCGTAAAAAAACATGCAAGCCACGCCCACTTCCTTTCACGTAAACTAACGAAAATCGCTACGTATATCTAAGGTGCGGAGACGAGTGAACATGTCTATGTGCCACTCGTGAGTTTTTCTCAAAAGCCCTCACCGTAAAACACGATATTGCTCCCATGAAAATGCACAAAAGTGCTCAAACTTCACGTGTGCTAACGGTCCAGCCCTGAAGACATATTCATGTCAGTTTGGAGATTTCATCAAAAGCCGTTGCTATAGCAACACAATGCTCGCCATGAAACATGGTTTTCTCATAACTTAAAGGAAAATCATCCCAATGGCCCCAAACTTCACATGATGGCTAACACTGCTGCCCTGAACAGCTCTACGCTAACATCTGAGGTTACAAGTACACACTGATACTACACACTGATACTACACACTGATACTACAGTACTAACGTGTGACAGTGAGAGTTATCAGAAACAGAGTCACCCTTCATCTCAACCCCCCCCCCCCCCCCCCCCCCTTCACCCCCTCTCTCCCAGCCATCACAGACGAGACTCTGAGCTTCGTGTCTCGCAGCCGGCGCCTCCTGGTGGTCCTCGGCCCGGGTTACGCCTCACGGGGGTCCCAGGCTCTGCTGGAGCTGCAGGTGGGGCTGGACAGCATGGCCCGGGGGGGGCAGCTGAGGGTCATCCTGGTGCAGTACCAGCCGGGGGGGGGATGGGGCCTGGTCCGCGAGCTCAGGAGTGCCCGCGTGGTTCTGGCTCTGGTCCGATGGCAGGGGGACAAATCCAGAGATCTAACCTCTCGCTTCTGGAAGAGGCTGAGGGTGGAGCTTCCAGTGAGGAGGGGGGGAGGGAGGGGGGAGGAGGGGGGTAAGGGGCTGAGGCTGCAAAGTCAGAACAGCACCAACTCCCAGACGGGCCTCATCACCAACAGCATCAAACACCCGCAGAAGGTCTTCCAGGCCGCGGCGTAGACTTTTTTTTTTATTCTGAGAAAAAGTCCAAGTTTCAAGACAAATGTTCACATGTGGCGTCGACTTACCTGATCTTAACGTGATGCAGCGCAGAGCCAGGACTCATTTGCAAAATTCTGAGAAAAAAAAGTCAAAATTCCCAGAAACCTTTTTATAATTCTGAGAAAAAAGTCCAAATCTTTGAGACCGAATGTTCACATGTGGCCTGAACCCTGTCCCGTAGTTGGTTAACCTCTGTTAGATTTTGTCATACAGATATAAATATTATGGTCGTCTGCATTGAGGGAGATTTACAACATCAATATTAAAGCAGCGCTGCTGTAGAGGAATCAACCCCTAGAAGACAGATCCGTGTACTGCAACGCTCCACATACCAGAACCAGAACCAGATTTATAGCCAGGTTCGTTCACACATACAAGGACTCTGCTTTGGGGTCTGGTGCTGCGAACATTAACAATCCAAAACATGTATGATTAGGTAAAAAAAAGAATTATATAAGGGTAATAAAAAACAAGTTGCAAAGTAAGAAATATAAGTATAATAAAAATATATATATTTAAGAAACAATTTAGCATTAAAAAAGGATGCTAAAGACAAACACACCAAATGTAAATGTGACTATACAAATAACCTTAAAAGCTAAAAAGCACTTACAACAATGAGTATATATTTTAAACTGCAGCAGATTCTATTTGGAAGTGGCGGGCCGTGCAGAAAGCATTATTAAGGAAGGCAAAATAGAACAAGAACAGAACAGCCAGAAAGAAATGTCCAGTGGCGAGCCGTCAGGGCCCTCTAGGCCCTCTGTGAGGGCCCTCTGTGAGGGCCTAAAATATTCTACAAAATAATATTTAAAAACATTAAAAAAAATAATGTATTTTTTTATATATTTTTTTAGTTATATTTTTAGTTATATTTTTCATTAGTTTTACCAAAATAACTTGATTTAATTGTATTTAAAATAACATTTCCAAAGAAATAAATCCTTCAAATCTGCCTATTCAGTTTCTGTTGGAATGTGAAGGGTTAAATGAAAGAAGCTCGTCTCTGACTGAAGAGAGGAGCTGATTGGACGTCCAGGCGGTCCAGCTATGAATTCACAGAGGGTTGCTATAGTAACTGCACGAGAGAGTAATGTCAAATGACAGTACAATTGACCAATCATATCTTCCCTCTAAATGGGTGGGTGTTATTATCACGGACTTTATGACAAGTTCCGCCCGCTGTGAAACTTTTCTTGTTTCCATAACAACAACAACTTCCTGTCAACAGGAGTTATTTTGTTAACTCGCCTTCAAAATAAAAGCATGCCATATTACACTTAAGACATACAACTGCAACGAAAGTAACAAACACAATGCAATATCCTTTTCAATGTCAAAGAACACAAATAGGGTTATTTACAGGTGTTGTTCTGTGTGGTAGAGGGTCGCTGTCATTGATGCGTTTTGCACCCCGGGCCGTTGTTTTGATATTCCGCTGAAGTATACGCTGTGACGTAATAACTCGAGGGAAGGGGTGGGGGTCAGAGGGCCTGGGTATAAAAGTCACGGCTCGCCACTGGAAATGTCTCACTTTAACGTGACGTCTGCAGATTAGACGTGACCCACATCGGTCACATGGTGCAGGAAGTGATGTCATCGTGAGACCACAGACGTTCACAGATGAGTTGAAACTGAGATAACAATAACTCAAGCAGAGTCATTTCGTTTTCGACCAGACCCACGACGAATGTACTGAAAACATAGAAATAAAAAAGCCTTTCGTCTCAGATGAATTTACTTTTCTCATGAACTCAGTATTATTTGTCGTCTCATCAGCATGAAGCGCCTTCACCTGCACTCTGACCACGTCTCACCTCCATGTGTATTACCTGTCACTGCATCGTGCTAAGAAGTCACAGTGAATGTGTTTTTAAACCGAGTGTTTCCTCACTACCATTTCTCCAAAAATGGACGGCTGATTGGCCGAGACATCTGTCAATCATCTTCTTACACCAAAACACATTAACCAGATCATTTTTGGACCTTTTACAACCTCTGTTTGAATTGCATCCACCTAGTATAAGTTAGACTTGGAGATGAAAGCCTCGTTAATGGTCACACACACACACACACACACACACACACACACACACCACACACACACGTACATAGACTTTTGTCCTTAGTTTTTAAAGGTTTGTTCTGATAATTAACATTTAGTAATATCCCTCAGGGAACCGTTAACTTTTTATATTTAAGTTGCACCTCTAGAGGGAAGTTCCCATTGACTTCCTCTAGTGGCCGTTAGAGGAACTGCACATTAAAAAGCATGTAAATAAGGTTGGGAGATTTAAGATATCACGCAAGATACACTTTAACAACTACTTGTAAACATGTTGAAGGGAAACCAACCCTCGGATGTACAGCAGCGATTTGAATTGTGTTTGAGTCAGAAATATATGTTTTAAACTCACCTGATTCTTATTGAGTCCGGCACAATGAGTTTACATTTATACAGTCAATATTATGTTTTTCCCTTTCCCCCTCCCGGGCCTAGCTAGTAGATCACATAACTCAATAAATAGGTCAAAGTAAAGTAATGTAGAAGATAATATTAAAAGAAAATTAATAGATAAGGAAATAAAGAATAGTAACAGTAATACATGTACCCATATACTCACATATGTATACCCGCATATACACATACATGTGTGTGCATACCTACACACATGCACATACGTACATGTACATACATACATGTATACAAAGACAGAAACAAATCGATAAAGATAAAAAGAGACATTTAGTTTCTTAAGTTCATTACATTTCTCTGTTTCATTTTAAAGATGGTTTTATCGTATAAATGCATCTGCAATTAATCAAGGTTTATATTTCTGTTGATTAAGGGAAACTGTGCTCTTCATCTTTTACACTTAGCGATAATGGGAGAAAGCATCCTGCACTTCGTCTTCTTGCATTTCACTGTATTTTGACTGTAATTCACTTCATGTTGCTTTTTAATAAAGGCTTTGTTCATTGACTGGTTTGTGAACATCTTCATTTCATGTCTTCCTTCCACCATGTCGTTTGGATCATAATGTTCATATCGTTTACAATTATTATTTTGCCTCCAGAAGATCAAAAAGTCACTTATTCTCAGCTGTCCACGAACACACACATTTAGTATGTGTTTAGAGCCACTGTGTCGGACACAATCATGTCGAAATAAAACAGATCCTTAACTGAACATTAGAGGCTTCGATTAGCCAATCGTACGCAGGGTTAATGATCCGAAAATCTAAGTTTGTGGATTTCTTTAATGATCTAATATCATAAACAACAGAACGATGAACAGGTTTCCTATCGATTCCTTTCCTTAAAGACTTTCCTATGACTTCACCCTGGTAAAAACCCTTACCCTCCTGGTGCTCCACCTGTCTCCAATGTATACACAATTACACCAGGTGCCCTAACATGCCTTCAACATATAAGAATACAAACAAATAACAACACTAAATAACAATCATTCACTATAAACAAAAAGTAAATACATGTTTTACTTTAAATATTATAAAGCAATATATAGCTCCAGCAGCCTCGTTAGCAGCTCTCTCTACTGGCGTAATGCTACGATTAGCAAGCGATGAGTTAGCATCCGGACAACAGCATGGTAGTCAGGACCTCGTATGGTGCGTTCGAACCGGACGGGAAGTGAAGATTTGCTACGATTGGTGTTTTGGTTTCTTTTTTTCTGCCCTTTTTGCGACCCGGGATTGGCTGAAGCTGAACAGCCAATCAGAGCGCAGGAAAAGGTCAAACAGAGTCTCATCTTCATTGGATCATTCTCATTGGTGAGTGATCTTTAGAAACACTGTCAGACGCTGATGGTTTTTGTTAAAGTTTATTCCGAGGTGATTCTGTTTCTGTCGGAGTCTCGTGGCTCCGAGGAGAGTGTGATGTTTGCACGATAATGGATTCAAACACTAGTCTAAATCAGTGTTTAAATGTGGCTCCAGGAGCACAGGATGGTTTTTCGTTCTGCCACAGTATTTGTTGTTTTATTTAGCTCATTCTTCATCTTCATATCATCAGATCATTCCCTAACTCTACGACGTGTTCCTGAGCTTCCCTTCTTCGCGTCTGTCTTGTATTGTGTCATCCGTTATTCCTGACACTTCCTGTTTGTCCCCCTTTAGACCAATCAGAGTGCATCCTGCAGGCAATGCAGCGAAGCCGCCGCCTCCTCTTCGTGCTAAGCCCCGCCTTCCTCTCAGAGAAGAGCTTCAGCCTATTGGAGTGCCGGCTGGGTTTGTTTCTGCAGAACGAGCGTCGCGCCTCCATCGTCTCCGTGGTGTTTCAGTCCGTCAGCAAACATCCCAGCGTGGAGGCAGCGCAGCTCCAACAGGTCTATCCTCATTCTGGGTCTGAACATCTAAACATCCTCATTCTGGGTCTGAACATCTGAACATCCTCATTCTGGGTCTGAACTTCTAAACATCCTCATTCTGGGTCTGAACATCTAAACATCCTCATTCTGGGTCTGAACATCTAAACATCCTCATTCTGGGTCTGAACATCTGAACATCCTCATTCTGGGTCTGAACATCTAAACATCCTCATTCTGGGTCTGAACATCTAAACATCCTCATTCTGGGTCTGAACATCTAAACATCCTCATTCTGGGTCTGAACATCTGAACATCCTCATTCTGGGTCTGAACATCTGAACATCCTCATTCTGGGTCTGAACATCTGAACATCCTAATTCTGGGTCTGAACATCTAAACATCCTCATTCTGGGTCTGAACATCTAAACATCCTCATTCTGGGTCTGAACATCTAAACATCCTCATTCTGGGTCTGAACATAAAACATCCTCATCTGGGTCTGAACATCTAAACATCCTCATTCTGGGTCTGAACATCTAAACATCCTCATTCTGGGTCTGAACATCTAAACATCCTCATTCTGGGTCTGAACATCTAAACATCCTCATTCTGGTCTGAACATCTAAACATCCTCATTCTGGGTCTGAACATCTAAACATCCTCATTCTGGGTCTGAACATCTAAACATCCTCATTCTGGGTCTGAACATCTAAACATCCTCATTCTGGGTCTGAACATCTAAACACCCTCATTCCTGAACATCCTCATTCTGGGTCTTGAACATCTAAACATCCTCATTCTGGGTCTGAACATCTAACATCCTCATTCTGGGTCTGAACATCTAAACATCCTCATTCTGGGTCCTGAACATCTAAACATCCTCATTCTTGGGTCTGAACATCTGAAACATCCTCATTCTGGGTCTGAACATCTGAACATCCTCATCTGGTCTGAACATCTAAACATCCTCATTCTGGGTCTGAAACATCTAAACATCCTCATTCTGGGTCTGAACATCTAACATCTCATTCTGGGTCTGAACATCTGAACATCCTCATTCTGGGTCTGAACATCTCTGAACAT